TAATAACAATATAGCCTAGTGGTCTACATACATAAAGTTTAATTTTAAAATTCCTCACATTTTCTGATTCAAGATTTTCCACAAGTATAAAATCAAAAGCATTTCATTGAAGTTCTGTTTTTGTTTTTTCTGTCACAAATAATTTCTTGACACAGGTTCCTTAACATATTATATTTGTACATTTTATTTTATTTCATTTTATTTACCTTTTCTCTATTACACACATACACCATATTTATTCCATGAATTACACCTCAGTRTAGGCTTATGGTAAAAATCAGACACAGCAAGACGTTACTGAATGTCTTACTATCACTCATAATGATGTGCTTTAATCATTACTGTAATGTAATCAAAGTGCAATAAATATTGTTATGAACACACCTAAGTGACTGCTTTTCAGTGTGTATTATAGAGGATTTTTTTCCTTAGGAATCTCCAATTGTCAGAGCTGTAGATAAAATATTACAGTTACATATAGAAGTGTGCAAAATGTTGTTTCCGGAAATCTATGGCATTAAAATAAAAATTAGAAATGAGAAAATGAAAATACATGATTTGTCAGCAATTTAAATCCCATCAGCTGGAATCACAGGTTGACAGAGATCATTAGGACAACAGTAGCTTCGATCTCATTGGCCACTGATGGATGACGTRACGTCATTCCAGCAGTGCCATTGGTTTGATCTGACGTCGGTAAGRCGCTTGAAGAAACAGAATGGACTCGGAGGCTCTCGGCATCTGCACCAAACGATGAAGGTTTTGCCTGAATTAATCGCTTTTTTCGCAAAATAAAGACGGAGAAGAGAAGCAGCCATCAACATGGTAAGTACGAGAAGCTTTAAATGGTTAATATTTGTTGCAAATGTTCATAAAACAGATGGTGTCGCGCTCCGTAGTCCGTCTGCGTTTTGACATTTCCTGTTAGTAGAGCAGTCTACTTACCAGGGATATTACTAATCAAATATTTTACATATTTAAAAAAAATGTTATGTTGTTTTAACGGGCTGACATTCACGTTTTTTTCTTAGCGAGAGACAACGGTGAAGAAAAGCAGGCCTTCATGTTTTGATAATCTGCATGTTTGGAAGAAATAACACTGTAGCTGCTCGTGTTTTCTTCATATTTTGACAGTATGGTTTTGTGAATCACGCCCTGGAGCTCCTCGTTCTGAGGAATTACGGACCTGATGTGTGGGAAGATATCAAGTGAGTTCTGTATGTGTTTAATCCTGTTGGTTTCACTCAGATGACAGGCCTACAGAAGTAAAGGTTCAGGTTGTCACAGCTGGAACAGACTTCATTTGATGCATTTTTAATTTTGCAATCTCTGAGCTACACCTGTTGGATATATATATATA